ACAGGGACACTTCAGAGTCTATTCCTTCCGTCATGTCGTTCACAAATACCAGAAACAGCACTGGTCCTAGGACTGACCAATGTCGGACCCCGCTGGTCACAGGTGCCCACTCTGACACCTCGCCACGTACCATGACTCGCTGCTGTCTTCCTGACAAGTATTCCTTGATCCTTCCCTGTGTGTGTGTGTGTGTATGTGTGTGTGTGTGTTTACCTGGAGTTTACCTGGAGAGAGTTCCGGGGGGTCAACGCCCCCGCGGCCCGGTCTGTGACCAGGCCTCCTGGTGGATCAGAGCCTGATCAACCAGGCTGCTGCTGCTGGCTGCACGCAAACCAACGTACGAGCCACAGCCCGGCTGGTCAGGAACCGACTTTAGGTGCTTGTCCAGTGCCAGCTTGAAGACTGCCAGGGGTCTGTTGGTAATCCCCCTTATGTATGCTGGGAGGCAGTTGAACAGTCTCGGGCCCCTGACACTTATTGTATGGTCTCTTAACATGCTAGTGACACCCTGCTTTTCATTGGGGGGATGTTGCATCGTCTTGCCAAGTCTTTTGCTTTCGTAGTGAGTGATTTTCGTGTGCAAGTTCGGTATTTGTCCCTCTAGGATTTTCCAGGTGTATATAATCATGTATCTCTCCCGCCTGCGTTCCAGGGAATACAGGTTTAGGAACCTCAAGCGCTCCCAGTAATTGAGGTGTTTTATCTCCGTTATGCGCGCAGTGAAGGTTCTCTGTACATTTTCTAGGTCAGCAATTTCACCTGCCTTGAAAGGTGCTGTTAGTGTGCAGCAATATTCCAGCCTAGATAGAACAAGTGACCTGAAGAGTGTCATCATGGGCTTGGCATCCCTAGTTTTGAAGGTTCTCATTATCCATCCTGTCATTTTTCTAGCAGATGCGATTGATACAATGTTATGGTCCTTGAAGGTGAGATCCTCCGACATGATCACTCCCAGGTCTTTGATGTTGGTGTTTCGCTCTATTTTGTGGCCAGAATTTGTTTTGTACTCTGATGAAGATTTAATTTCCTCGTGTTTACCATATCTGAGTAATTGAAATTTCTCATCGTTGAACTTCATATTGTTTTCTGCAGCCCACTGAAAGATTTGGTTGATGTCCGCCTGGAGCCTTGCAGTGTCTGCAATGGAAGACACTGTCATGCAGATTCGGGTGTCATCTGCAAAGGAAGACACGGTGCTGTGGCTGACATCCTTGTCTATGTCGGATATGAGGATGAGGAACAAGATGGGAGCGAGTACTGTGCCTTGTGGAACAGAGCTTTTCACCGTAGCTCCCTCGGACTTTACTCTGTTGACGACTACTCTCCGTGTTCTGTTTGTGAGGAAATTATAGATCCATCGACCGACTTTTCCTGTTATTCCTTTAGCACGCATTTTGTGCGCTATTACGCCATGGTCACACTTGTCGAAGGCTTTTGCAATGTCTGTATATATTACATCTGCATTCTTTTTGTCTTCTAGTGCATTTAGGACCTTGTCGTAGTGATCCAATAGTTGAGACAGACAGGAGCGACCTGTTCTAAACCCATGTTGCCCTGGGTTGTGTAACTGATGGGTTTCTAGATGGGTGGTGATCTTGCTTCTTAAGACCCTTTCAAAGATTTTTATGATATGGGATGTTAGTGCTATTGGTCTGTAGTTCTTTGCTGTTGCTTTACTGCCCCCTTTGTGGAGTGGGGCTATGTCTGTTGTTTTTAGTAACTGTGGGACGACCCCCGTGTCCATGCTCCCTCTCCATAGGATGGAAAAGGCTCGTGATAGGGGCTTCTTGCAGTTCTTGATGAACACGGAGTTCCACGAGTCTGGCCCTGGGGCAGAGTGCATGGGCATGTCATTTATCGCCTGTTCGAAGTCATTTGGCGTCAGGATAACATCGGATAGGCTTGCGTTAACCAAATTTTGTGGCTCTCTCATAAAAAATTCATTTTGATCTTCGACTCTCAGTCTGGTTAGCGGCTTGCTAAAAACTGAGTCATATTGGGACTTGAGTAGCTCACTCATTTCCTTGCTGTCATCTGTGTAGGACCCATCTTGTTTAAGTAGGGGCCCAATACTGGACGTTGTTCTCGACTTTGATTTGGCATAGGAGAAGAAATACTTTGGGTTTCTTTCGATTTCATTTATGGCTTTTAGTTCTTCCCGCGATTCCTGACTTCTATAAGTGTGTGTGTATGTCGTGCCGAATAGGTAAAACTTGCGAGTTTGGCTTAAATAGCAACGCTCTTCTTGCCGAATAAGGCAAGCGAAAATTTGTGTATGCAATAATTTCGCAAAAAATCATTCTGAACGTAACGAAAAAAAAAATTAATTGTGTTTGTTTATTATATATTTAGTTGAATTAGGCTAAATTATATTGTGCTAGTTATAATACGATTAAGTAAGTTTTCTAAGGTTTCTTTGGTACAAAATTATTAATTTTTAATTTAACATAAATGAAAAAATATGTAACTTTAAACGTATAAGAGAAAATTTTAGAAAGGACAATTTTCAATTAGTTCTTACTAACTGACCAATTTTACCTATTCGGCACGACATTATATATATACACTGCTTGACTCACATTACTCCCTCCATGTTCCTCCATCATTACAGCATCACGTGACATGTTTGTTTATATTTACTCAGAATACCGAGTAGCTCCCTCACCCTAGCTGCTCCCTCACCCTACTTCCTCCCTCACCCTACTTCCTCCCTCACCCTAGCTGCTCACTCACCCTACTTCCTCCCTCACCCTAGCTGCTCACTCACCCTAGCTGCTCACTCACCCTACTTCCTCACTCACCCTACTTCCTCCCTCACCCTAGCTGCTCCACCTACTTCCTCACTCACCTACTCCTCACTCACCCTACTTCCTCCACTCACCCTAGCTGCTCTCACCCTCTCCTCATCACCTACTCTCCTCACCCTACTTCCTCCCTCACCCTAGCTGCTCCCTCACCCTACTTCCTCACTCACCCTAGCTGCTCACTCACCCTACTTCCTCACTCACCCTAGCTGCTCCCTCACCCTACTTCCTCACTCACCCTAGCTGCTCACTCACCCTACTTCCTCCTCACCCTAGCTGCTCCTCACCCTACTTCCTCACTCCACTCCTACTTCCTCCTCACCCTAGCTGCTCACTCACCCTACTTCCTCACTCACCCTACTTCCTCCCTCACCCTAGCTGCTCACTCACCCTACTTCCTCCCTCACCCTACTTCCTCCCTCACCCTAGCTGCTCACTCACCCTACTTCCTCACTCACCCTACTTCCTCCCTCACCCTAGCTGCTCACTCACCCTACTTCCTCCCTCACCCTACTTCCTTCACTCACCCTAGCTGCTCCCTCACCCTACTTCCTCCACTCACACCTACTTCCTCCCTCACCCTAGCTGCTCACTCACCCTACTTCCTCCCTCACTAGCTGCTCACTCACCCTACTTCTCCTCACCCTAGCTGCTCATCACCATTCCTCCCACCCTAGCTGCTCACTCACCTACTTCCTCCCTCACCCTACTGCTCCTCACCCTAGCTTCTCCTCACCCTAGCTGCTCACTCACCCTACTTCCTCCCTCACCCTAGCTGCTCACTCACCCTACTTCCTCCCTCACCCTAGCTGCTCACTCACCCTACTTCCTCCCTCACCCTAGCTGCTCACTCACCATAATTCCTCCCTCACCCTAGCTGCTCACTCACCCTACTTCCTCCCTCACCCTAGCTGCTCACTCACCCTACTTCCTCCCTCACCCTAGCTGCTCACTCACCCTACTTCCTCCCTCACCCTAGCTGCTCACTCACCCTACTTCCTCCCTCACCCTAGCTGCTCACTCACCCTACTTCCTCCCTCACCCTAGCTGCTCCTTCACTCTTGTTATTAATGTAGGTTGGAGTCAGGAGACCAGTGACGGAATACAGACTGCAAGAGAAGATATTGCAGTCATAAAGAGCTAAATCCACACGGGTCATTCAAGCCAGGGAGTAGCCGAGGCTCGATCCTCCGTCTGGTGAGTGCGTCCCTGTCAACTCACACGAGGACGATCTCCGAAATGACGTCGTTCTCGAGGACCACACCAGCCACCTAACATCCGCAATTATTATTATTATTATTATTATTATTATATAACAGTTAACAGAAAATATTTAAACTGGGAATGATGGATGGCTTTGGTTACAATGCCCCCCACCGCCCCCCCCCCCCGCCCGAAGGTCGTGTATATTGCAACTGACACATACATACATACAGGAAGACTGGCCTAGTAGCGACCAGTTAAGAGGCAGGGCCAGGAGCTATGAATCGACCCCTGCAACCACAATTAGGCGAGTACACACAGATACACAACTTTTATTATCAATATATTCACATTTTTTTCATAATTTTTGACTCTCAATCAAGCATATTCTTCTCATAATGGTCATCTCCTTTGTTATCTCCTGTTCTTCTCCCTTATCCATCTTCTCCTAACCCCTCATCCTCCTAATCATATAAAGCTGGATTCCAATCCCTATATTTTTCTAATCCTCTTGTACTAATTTTTTTCTACGTTTCTCTAGTGTTTATAATCTATTACCTTCAATGATTATTAATGAATAATCTTTTTCATAATTACATTATTCCTGATTATCCCCCTTCACTTGTTGTCCATCTCATGTCTTCCCTCTCATCTCCGATGCTTTATCCACCTCCCCCTCACCCACCGTCGGTTTCATTTCCCATCCAGTTCTACCCTCGTTCCATCAATCCTCCAGTTCTCTTCCGCTCCATCAGTCCTCCAGTTCTCTCCCTCCCCATCAATCCTCCAGTTCTCTTCCGCTCCATCAATCCTCCAGTTCTCTCCCGCTCCATCAATCCTCCAGTTCTCTCCCGCTCCATCAATCCTCCAGTTCTCTCCCGCTCCATCAATCCTCCAGTTCTCTCCCGCTCCATCAATCCTCCAGTTCTCTCCCGCTTGGCGCAACAATCCTTAAAACTAGAATAAAGTTTAGATTCGGCTCACCTCCCATACCTTTTCGTGTTGCATTTGCTTCATGAGTATAGATCTCTTCTTGTCCTTACATCTCTTGTTCTGGAACCAGACTCTGATGACCCTGGGTGAGAGTCCCGTCATCTCCACCAGCTGCTCCTTCATGAGGGCGTCGGGACGGCAGTTGGCAGCGTAACAGGTTCTGCAGGAGAGAATACGAGGTGGGACACAAGTTACGAGGGTGGCAGAAAGAGGTGAAGCTAAGTTAGTTTAAGTTAGGGAGCGGGAAACAAAGGCAGACCTAGTGGTTGAATCTGGCAGCTAAGTTCAGTGGTGATAGCAGCCTATGTGGATTTAGAAGTAGATATGAGAGGCAGAGGCGGATTTACTATGAAACTAATGAATCTTTAGCTTCAGGGCCCCTAATCTCGGGGACCCCAGAAGCCACTTTATTCTACATTGCTTAAAATTTTGGGGTCTACTGTATGAGAAGGTTTTTTAAAAAATAATATATAACAATTAAAATAAAAATTTAAATATTTTTAAAGTATCATGTAGGCTAGCTGTTGTTGGTTGCTAAAGGGGCCCCAATACAGTTCAAGCTTCTGGGCCCCAAAAATGTAGGTTCCCCAACTGATAAGGTTAAGGGGAGTATAACTCATTCGTTCTCACCGAAACTCCGCAATTAGGAAAGGAACCTTACGAGGAGGTTCCCATTTGTCCTGGTCCAGGACAGAGCAGAACACTCAAAGTTCCTCTGCTAAGTGAAGGGGTTTACAGTGAAGTGCGTACCAACCTGAGCGTGTGTAGCTGTTTCTCGTTCAGAACGGTCCGAACCCTTGTAGTCTTTCCCTCCCGTCGTTCCTTTCTCACCGGCTTCCCCTCACCTGTGGGAGAGAAGGCATTTATGAAATCACGCCAAGAGAAAAAGTAATCATCCATCAGGAACACCAAGAAAAAGGCATTAAAATACATTCTCGGGGGGGAGGTAATAATGGAAAACAAAATATATTTGAAAAAGTATTTAAAAAGGAACACAAAACAGCCTTGGGGAACACCAAAAGAAAATAAAAAATAATACCCAGGGAAGGCATAGAAACCAACACACCTGTGGCCCAGCATCACCTGATAGAAATAATTACGAAAAGGATATGAACACGAATGCGTTGACTCGTGGCATCTTTACTGAAGACGTTTCTGTCCTTGAATCTTGATGCTCTCAATAAAAGTCTCATGTGAATGCATTCGAGTTCACTTGCCTCAAACTGTCGGCATTCGTTTGCCTTCTCACCAGATCTCTAAGGAATGATAAAGATAAACTGCCACAGATACAGCATCCATGCAGAGAGCAAATCAGGTTAAACATTATATAAAAAACAAATGTTTATAAACCCATATACTAAACCAGAAGAAGAGTGACATGTACCACGACTAACTCTTTCTCTAGGCCTACTGTGTATCCTTATGTACTTGCACTACGTCCACAGGATGGACATGACATAGGGTACACTATGAACTAGTCAGTACCGTCCACAGGATGGACATGGGGTACACAAACTAGCCACTACCGTCCACAGGATGGATATGGGATACATAAACTAGCTGCTACCGTACAAGGATGGACAATGGGTACACTAATTAAACACAGACGTCAGTACTACCATCACTCACCTTTAAGGTAGTTTTGTACCTACGAGTTAGACAATGTGTGACTGAGATTGACACAAAAGCGTAGCTCTCTTACCACTATATCTTGAAGTCGTTGTGCTGACGTTAGTCGTGTCTGTTGTTCTCCGCGTATGGCGAATTCATCTCCCGGAAGCAACTGACTTGCGACATGCGGAGCATCTGCAGTCTCCCGCATGAGAGAAAGAAAGTCCAGCGAGATAACAGTATGTTCACAAGAACGGGGTATTAACGCTTCCGCAGGTGAGAAAAGGGATGATGAGTTCGAAGAAAATGGGATGATATCTCAAGAAAATGGGTGTTTGTTCACGAAGAAAAATGGGATGATGATTCTCGAAGAAAATGGGATGATGATTCTCGAAGAAAATGGGATGATGATTCTCGAAGAAAATGGGATGATGATTCTCGAAGAAAATGGGATGATTCTCACAAAGTAAATAAAACTGGATAACAAACACGATGAAATAAAACAGAAGTAAATGGAGAGGAAAAAAGGAAATAAAGATAACACATTGGAAAAAAGTAATTATAAAAATAAAGGAATACATACAAATTAAGAAGAGTTATATTTATAAAAAAAATTAGACTTCTGATTTGAAATAGCATTTTGACAATGACTAAACAAAAAACCATTGTTGTGGCAGCGAGTGACTTTTGACAAGCAACACGATATAACAAAAAACGATAAATGGTTTATCTTGACAGGTCCAACAGCTGATAAAACGTTTTTTAAACACCGTAGACGAGAGATGACAGTCAGGTTATAATTATCTAATCAGTAAAAATGATAAGTTTTTTTTTTATGCTGTAGTAAATTAAATTATTCATTTATCAATAGTTCATGTTTTAAAATATTTATTTACGTGTCCATAAATGTTTAAATTCTGTATTCCTGTATTTACAGAAATATATAAAATTCCAATTACCTGTCTGTCCAGTCTAATGCCTGTCAAATACACATACCAAATATATATATATATATATATATATATATATATATATATATATATATATATATATAATATATATATATATATATATATTCTTCCTTCCTTATAACCCGCTTGAGTAATTTTCTTCAACTCGATTGTCTATTCCTCCATCTATCGTCTTCCACTCCACCCGAGTGATGGTTCTCACCTGAAACAATCCAGATGGTAGATTTTCGTCCTGGCTCTCATAACCAAGTCTGTCTTCTCGAACATCCGTCCACACTTGTCGCATTTCGCACCAAATAATCTGGAAAACAATCAGAGAATACTATGTAAAAAAATAATATATACGAAATACCTTAGTTTGTTTTATGAAGAGAGAACAATGCGAAGGAACGAATGGGGTCTGAAAATAAAGATTAGTTGCTGAAGAAGTTTTTATCTGGAGAGTTTCTCTCTGTACAGAGCGAAACGTTGCCTGATGGAATAACGTCTGCCTCGTCAGCAGACGTTATTCCATCAACGAATGCCTCGTGTTGATACAAGCCTACCACCTCGTTTTCATTAGTTTTTATCAACCATCCATTTACTCTAACTCATTCCATCCACTTGATCGAACTCTTCCAATCCACTTGTTCAAAATCTTTTATCCCACTCCACAGCCTGTGCAGGACCATCACAACCCATTATCCTATTCAAAATTTTAAATGTATCCACTATCCATCCTACTCTAACGACCTAGTACGATCCCCGGTACGGGTGGAACATTAGTACGTGTTTCCTTAAGATATCTGTTGCCCATGTTCACTAAGCAGTAAAATAGGTACCTGGGTGTTAGTCGACTGGTGTGGGTCGCATCCTGGGGACAAAAGTGACCTAATTTGCCCGAAATGCTCTATGTAACAACGGGCTTTCTATACAGTAGTATGTCATGTACAAGGTATACAGTCCTAGCTGACATGTACAAATAGAGATTAATATTATAGCACACGTAACACGGCCCCGCACCATTTTCTCAATTGTTCCCATTACAGCCTGTAATGTTCCCTGAACAATAATAGAGTTAGGGATTTGTACCCGGGAGAGTGCATAGAAGGTATACGAGCAGGAGGAAGAGAAAGGAGGACAAGAGGATAGGGAGGGGGGAAGAAGAGAGGTGCCCGGCTCCCTGCAGCTGCAGGCATGGAGCGCTCCGCACATTAAACACTGGGGGCCGAGATTATTTGAAGATCAACATGGCTGTCCAAACTCCAGTCTGCGATTTTGATGAGATTTCAGACGCCGAGCGAGCAGGAGGGAGTCAAACCCTAGGCCCCCAGATGGTCGAAACCCCCTCGTTTCACCTTACTAACTCTCCTCCTTACCGACAGCCCGTGGCTAGGCACCTTCTTGGCCCCACCCGGTGGTTTCTTGCGGGGGGGACCGAAGATGGAAGCCATTTGAAATATAAGAATAAATACGAGATCCCCGGCACGGAGGATTTTTCAATGTTTAGTTCACGACAAATTCAATTTTGGCTAAGGTGGTTTCTCCCTTAAATATTAACCTTTGAGAGGGAGACAAATGAATGTTTGAGGTCACGGTTACCTGAACAAACTGAAAACTCAGATATCGCGAGATGGTGATGGAAATTTTTGTTGTTGAGGGACGAGTGGTAGTGATGGGGAGGGAGATGTTAGTGATGGGGGGAGGGAGATGTTAGTGATGGGGAGAGGGAGATGTTAGTGATGGGGAGGGAGATGTTAGTGATGGGGGGAGGGGGATGTTGTTCAAAAGAGTCAGATGATGAACTGGTGAAGTTAATGTTGGCAAGAGAAATTGGTGGTGGTGGTAGTGGTGGTGGTAGTGGTGGTGGTAGTGGTGGTAGTGGTAGTGGTGGTAGCGGGGGTAGTGGTGGTGAGAAGAGGTTGTTGTTGGAAAGAGGGAGAGGATGCTGTTGGAGAGAGGGAGAAGCTGCTGTTGGAGAGGGAGAAAGCTGCTGGAGAGAGGGAGAGGGTACTGTTGGAGAGAGGGAGAGGGTGCTGTTGGAGAGAGGGAGAGAGTGCTGCTGGAGAGAGGGAGAGATGTGCTGGAGGAGGAGGAGTGCTGCTGGAGAGAGGGAGAGAGCTGCTGCTGGGAGAGGGAGAGATGCTGTGGAGAGAGGGAGAGCTGCTGTCGGAGGGAGAGAGTGCTGTGGAGAGAGGAGAGGTGCTGTGGGAGGGGAGAGTGGAGGAGGGAGAGACTGCTGTTGGAGAGAGGGAGAGACTGCTGTTGGAGAGAGGGAGAGAGTGCTGTTGGAGAGAGGGAGAGACTGCTGTTGGAGGAGGAGAGGGAGAGTCTGCTGTTGAAGAGAGGAAGAGAGTGCTGTTGGAGAGAGGGAGAGACTGCTGTTGGAGAGAGGGAGAGGTTAATTATCTCACGTTAAGACGAGAAGAGATTTAATAAAGAATAGGTTAACTTCAAAAGTTAAATTTCTCTAAATACACGTGGTCACAGCAGGACACTTCAATACACGTGGTCACAGCAGGACACTTCAATACACGTGGTCACAGCAGGACACTTCAATACACGTGGTCACAGCAGGACACTTCAATACACGTGGTCACAGCAGGACACTTCAATACACGTGGTCACAGCAGGACACTTCAATACACGTGGTCACAGCAGGACACTTCAATACACGTGGTCACAGCAGGACACTTCAATACACATTGTCACAGCAGGACAGTTCAATACACGTGGTCACAGCAGAACAGTTCAATACACGTGGTCACAGTAGGACACTTCAATACACGTGGTCACAGCAGGACACTTCAATACACGTGGTCACAGCAGGACACTTCAATACACGTGGTCACAGCAGGACACTTCAATACACGTGGTCACAGCAGGACACTTCAATACAGGGTCACAGCAAGGACACTTCAATACACGTGGTCACAGCAGGACAGCTCAATAATACACGTGGTCACAGCAGGACAGTTCAATACACGTGGTCACAGCAGGACAGTTCAATACACGTGGTCACAGCAGACAGTCAATACACGTGGTCACAGCAGAATTCAATACACGTGGCCACAGCAGGACAGCTCAATAATACAAGTGGTCACAACAGGACAGTTCAGTACACGTGGTCACAGCAGAACAGTTCAATACACGTGGTCACAGCAGGACAGCTCAATAATACACGTGGTCACAACAGGACAGCTCAATAATACACGTGGTCACAGCAGGACAGTTCAATACATGTGGTCACAGCAGGACAGTTCAATACACGTGGTCACAGCAGGTGAGCTCAATAATACACGTGGTCACAACAGGACAGCTCAATAATACACGTGGTCACAGCAGGACAGCTCAGTAATACACGTGGTCACAACAGACAGTTCATACACGTGTCACAATAGGAAGTTACACGTGGTCACAGCAGGAACAGCTATATACACGTGGTCACAAGGACAGTATAATACAGTGGTCACAGGTACAGTAATACACGTGGTCACAGCAGACAGTCCAATACACGTGGTCAAAGCAGAGCACTTCAATACACGTGGTCACAGCAGAATAGTCCAATACACGTGGTCACAGCAGGACAATTCAATACACTTGGTCACAGCAGGACAGCTCAATAATACACGTGGTCACAGCAGGACAGCTCAATAATACACGTGGTCACAGCAGGACAGCTCATATACACGTGGTCAAAGCAGAGCACTTCAATACACGTGGTCACAGCAGGACAGTCCAATACACGTGGTCACAGCAGGACACCTGAATACACGTGGTCACAGCAGGACAGCTGAATAATACACGTGGTCACAGCAGACAGCTGAATACACGTGTCACAGCAGGACAGCTCATTAATACACGTGGTCAAAGCAGGACACTTCAATACACGTGGTCACAGCAGGACATGTCATAATACACGTGGTCCAAGCAGGACACTGAACACACGGGCACAGCAGGACAGTCAATAATAACTGGTCACAGCAGGACAGCTCAATAATACACGTGGTCACAGCAGACAGCTCAGTAATACACGTGGTCACAGCAGGACAGCTCATAATAACACGTGGTCACAGCAGGACACAACACGTGGTCACAGCAGAAGTCAATAACACGGGTCACAGCAAGGACACTGAATACACCTGGTCACAGCAGACAGCTGACATAACACGTGGTCACAGACAGGACAGCTCAATAATACACGTGGTCACAGCAGAGACAGCTCAATAAACACGAGGTCACAAGCAGCTGAATACCTCCATCAAGGTAAAACACAGTTCAACAGAGACAGCTCAAATATACACGATGAGTCACGGGAAAGCAGCAAACCGAGGTCACAGAAGGACTAGTCAATAACACACGAGGTCAACAAGACACAATAACATCAAGGTTACAATAACCACGAAGGTACAGCAATAGACACTCAATAACACACGAGGTCACAACAAGACAGCTCAATAACACACGAGGTCACAACAAGACAGCTCAATACACACGAGGTCACAGAAGAACAGCTCAGTAATAACTCTTCACTCTAATATCTAAAAGGTAAAAACTATCATTATTCCTAACTTAAATATCAAACTTCAAAACTTGTAGGACGACTTGAGTATTCTGGTGAAAGATACCATCAAATCAAGTGTACTATCGTAAGTGTACTATCATGACATTCACTATCGTAAGTGTATTGTCATATCAAATGTACTATCATAACATCAATGGTATACAATACCGAGAAGTTGAAGAATCAGACACAATTACAACAAATGGGCATCTTCATTACGTAGACGTTTTGTCCAGCAGTGACTATCCACACAATACAGGGACAAAACAGAAGACTGAAGTGGAAGAGACAATCAGTCCCTCGTTCTAAGTGTTCAGTACCGTAGTCGTGATCAGTCTGCACTAAAGCTTCATGTGCGTCACTAACTCATAACACTTCACATATCACAATGACTCGTGTATTAAAGATCCTTCCCCCACCTTTCATGGGGGAAGGAAGTCCTCTGTTGTCAGTCAAGAAGTCGCGAAGGAAACCTTACTGTACAGAAAGTAACTTATATTTTTTAGGTCAAATGCTTTCGTCGTTTACGTAAGAAATAAAGAATATAACATCAAAGTTAGTTGATTATTCAAATTTGTAAACCATTTAAGGTAACCATTAGCTCTTAATCTGACAGCTCTCACTCATTCACAAGCTGCTAAAAGGGAGGTAAATGCCTCTGGTATCTCGTTACAAAGAAATGTGTTGACAAGAATCTGTGTAGCATGACAGTGGTGGAAAGAGGGAGATGTTGGTAAAAGAGAGATGGTGGTGAGGGG